TGTCTTTTGCCAAAGTATCAAATCTTCCAAAGGGCTTATTAAAACCAACATTAGCCTACAACAGATTAGCAATCTAGGACTAAACATAAAAGAACTAGTCGTTTAGCGAAAAAGTAAGGTGCTGCTCTTTTTAGATATCGGAGGCCCGTGCTTCAGCTTCCAGGACCAAAGTTTTAAAACCTTATTTTTTTTAACCTCATGTTTTACGAGCTAGTTTAGAAGTAAATGATTCAAAAATGTAGCATTTGCTTATGAGATTAAAGGTTGTGTGCAGTCACAGGAGCAAGTTGCTCCATTAAAAAAAAAAAAAAAAAAAAAGAGAAAAGAGAAAGAAAGACAATCATGGGTCGACAGCAGGGAGTTGCAGAGTATCGCTAATCATTGGTCGATGGCAACATAGCGAGCTGTAGGGTGTCGTGGACCATTTTTTACAATTACACTGTAAGAAAATGTTAGATTTTCGACCAAAAATTACTAACGGATTTTCCACTGAAAAATTTCTGATGACATTTTTGATGAAAAATTTCTGTCAGAAAGTTTTTTTGATAGAATTTTCTATTGTAAAATTTTTGACGACATTTCCTACAGAATTTCTGACAAAAGATTTCCGTCGAAAAATTTCTACACAATCTGACAATTTTGTATACTTGTTGGAATTTGTAAATCTTTTTCAATAGAATTTTCTGTTGAAAAATTTATGACGAAAATTCTGTCAAAAATTCTGCACACTTTGACAATTTTACAGACTTATTGGGATTTGCAACTCTTTTTTGATGAAATTTTCTAGGGCTGTCAATGGGTTAGATTTTAATCCGAATTCGATTCAAATCCAATCCGAATTTTAGGCCGTTTAACAGATTAAAATATCCGATAGATTAAATCTGATTATAAATATCCGTAATTCGAAACAAGTGGACTGGATATAGAATTAAGCAATCCGATCAGTTAAAAATCCGAATTCGAATATTTTAATAATAATTTTTATTTAATTAATAATTATATATATTAATAAATACTTTTATATATAATGTAATATATATGACATTATAATTAATAATACATTAATTTGTATTTGTGAAACATTTTATTTAATAGAATAATGTATTTTTTTTCTAAAGTATCCTATAATATGCTTTTATTTTCCTTAATTTTAATTTTTTTAGTAGGTATTATATTTAATAATTAATTACTTTTAAAATTTCATGAAACACTTGAATAAATTGATTATAAAATTTTCTAATTCTAACTATAATACAATAAAACTTGATAATTTTATAAGTATTAAAATCTTATCATTACTTTTGTAATATATTATATAACAAAAATTTTTCTTAATCATTCATAAACAACAATTTATTTTTGAATTTTATTTATATTTTAATAAAATCAAAATAATTAAATATAAATCTTACATGAATTTTTATCATTCATAAATAATAATTTATTTAATTTTACATATCTTTTGCTTATTGGTTTTTAATTATTTATTAATAGTTATTCAGATCGAATTTTTTATTTGGATTTCGGATTTTTATCAGATTTGGATTCGGTAATAACAAGTAGAAATCCTATAGGATTTCGGGTCGGATTCGGATATATACATTGATAATTAGATTCGGATTTGGATTATCTTGATTTGATCCGAATCCGACCCGTTTACGTACCTAAAATTTTCGATGGAATTTTGACCAAAATTTCAGTTGAAAATTCTACACACTTGGCAATTTTGCAGACTTTTTGGGATTTGTATCTCTTTTTTGACGAAAATTTCCATCGAAAATTCAACTTTGCTAACTTTTTTGAGATTTGTAACTTTTTTCTGACAGCATTCCATCGGAAAGCTATCGGAAAATTTGCTTTAAGAGCCAATAGCTACTCTTTTGTTTGTCTCTCTATCTCTCTCTCTGTCTCTCTCTCCCAAACTATTTTACTCTGCCTTAAAGAGATTGCCACTTGTAATGCCATGACCTGCGAGGATGACCAAGCTAGGCTTTGCTAGATCTCCTTGAGCTCCCTCATCGCTTGAAGGAAGATTGCTCTCATTGGCGCTCTTGGAGTCTTAATTCTTGCAGCAGTCCCACTTTCAGGTAATACTAATAATGTAATAACATAATCTCTATTTGGTTTTGTTTTAAAGACCTTATCTTATTTTTCTTTTCATAAAAACCGAGGTACAAAGAGGTTGCTGGAAAAGTTACCGGAGGTGCTGCCGAAAAATTAAAAAATATGAATATAAAATATAAATAATTAAAAAATAAAAAATAAAATATACAATAACCATAAAATAATGTAAAATATAAAAAAAAGGAAAACACCACCAAAAACGTTGTCGGAAAAGTTGCTAAATATGCCCCAAGAAAGCTGCCAAAAAATTTCCAAAGGAAAAGTTCGTCAGAAATTCCATCGAAAAATTTCTAACATAAATTTTCGTTGAAAATTTTCCGTCGGAGTAAGTTTTCCATCAGAAATAATTTTCGACAGTCTTTTTTCTGATGGTACATTTTTCTTTGAAAATTCTGTCAGAAACAGACTTTTATTTTTCTGACGGAAAACATTTGTCGAAAATGGCCTACTTTCTTGTAGTGTTAGGATATGGCGGTTTGTGTTGGAGGCCGTGAGTTAGGTGCATGAGAAGCCATGGAAGCATATGAAGGGAGGAGAGAGAGAGAGAGAGAGAGAGAGAGGATGCTGTAATGAGGATTTGTGTTCAAAGGTCATGAGTTGTTTGTGAAAGGCCATGGAAGCATAGGGGAGGGGAGAGAGAGGATGCTGTAATCTTGAACTAGGTTCCAAGAGGGACGAACCAAATGCTTGTGCGAATAAGGAGAACCAAATTAATTAAAATGGGGACAGGGAGAAGAAGTGAAAGAAAGATTTTTAAGCCTACAAGCAACATGAGGATGTTATAATGTAAGCATGTTTACAAAGAAGATGAACAGTATCTTATTGCGATGTAATCTTTTAGTTTTTAGCCCCTTTTTTTTGTTGTAGTCTTTCATTTTATAATTTTGTCATTTCAGTCCTCAAACTACTTTCTTAGTTTTTTTCTCATCCATATCGGTCTCTAATCTTTTGATTTTTTTTCATATAAACCCTTGTTTTAAAACAATTTGTTAAGAAATATAGTTTTAGAGTCACGATTCAAAAATACATGTTAAAAAAATAATAACTCAATTATCTGTAAAAAACATCATATTTCAGAAATATATTCTAATTTTAAAAACTTGTACTTTTGAAACTATAAAAAAAGAGTCTTAGGAATCCTATTAGGAATAGTTCCTACCACAAGAGCTGAAGGAGCTTCAAAATTAAAAGTTAGATCATCAATCAAGCCATCACAATCATTAACTATCACAATACCGATGCAAGTTGAATGAGGGACTTTCTAAAATGGCTTCAATGACCACTGTACGAGGAGATAGGCTAATGCTTTTGAAAATCCCATCATGTCTCAATTTCCAAATCCTCCAACTCATTTGAGCTATATGGGCCAGCAGGCTGAGCCGCTCAATTTTGGATATAGAGAATTGAGAATGAGACATTCGGACCACCTAGCCAAAAGAAATGCAATTTAATTCAAGGGATTAAACACAAATAAACCAAAAGAGTCTGGCCCAGTCACATTTGAAAAATAAATGATACGTGGATTTTACTTCTTTTCTATAATATGTGAGAAGGGACAAGTCTTGAACAACAAGATTGTCCCAAACAGTAATTCAGCCGTTGAGACTTTAGTTATAAAGATATTGCAATAGTTGCGGATTCTAAAAACTCTTGAGAGCTATTAACAACCCGTTTGGTTAGGCTGACAGCGCATGATAAGAAGAAAATTATCAACCTTATCCTGCGTTTGGTTGGCGTGTAACAAGGTAGGAGACAGATACATATCCGGGTTAGGAGGATAACGTATTTGGGGTTTTGAGAGGGATAAAATTTATCTCCTTAATAAATATCAGTGTTTGGACGCTTTTGCCCTCCTGATCTCCTCCTTCACGAGCGTGCTCTGCTGCAGACCGCAAGTGTAGAGGTAGATGACTCGCAATCGTCAACCTGCGTAGAGGGAGACGACTCACAATCGCCCACTGCCGGCATCACCAGAGCTTCTAGAGCTCGTTCATGGCGTCTGGCTCGATTTGAAAACCCAGCTTCTCTTCGCCCACGAGCGCAGGAAGGCAAAGCAGAGGGAGGAACACCTAGGTCGTCAACCTCGTTTGTGCCCACTGCCCGCATCACTAGGCTCGATCAACCTCAGCGGTCACTGTTTGCGCCCACTGCCAGCTTCTGGAGCTCGTTCGCATTGCTAGGCCCAAACGATCCAGTTCTTCTTCTGGCCCAAGCCCGATCCGATGGAGGCTGGGTTCTTGGTCTGCCTGGGTTGGCCAGACGGGCCGACCCAGGCCTGCATGTCAGAGGGAGTGGCTGGTTGTCAGAGGGAAGTGGATGATCCGACAGACATCCGAGTTGATTTGGTTTTTTTTTTTAACCTATAAGGGCTTTCTGGTAAATTACAAATTTTCTCCCTTTTGTTTTCTGTTGAACCAAAGTGTGATAATATTATTTGATCTAGATAAATTTATCTAGTATTATCATATCCTACTATATCCTATCATCCTAGCTGAACGGCCTCTCAGCATACAATTTTTTTGGACTATATTAAACAATTTATGTTTAACTTTTTAGGCCAGTAATAATGACTTCAAAGATCATTGCATTTTATGACTTATCCAATTGTTTACAAACTGAATGGAAATAGTTAAAGAATCATTTCATATCTCATCTCTTTCTATAGTTTTCTTTTATTCTCTCTCTCTCTCTCTCTAAATTACTTGTGCTCTTAATTCATGCTGTGACCACAGGACCAAGATTGATATTTGATTCCTTGGTTTTCATGGCCTCGAACCTTGGCTCCTTGGCTTGGAACTTGAGAGCAGCATAGAGCTTCATGTAGTCATCAAACACGAATTTTGGGTAAATTTGCTTCTCATCCTCCACCACTTTGGCTACCAACTCCGGTGCTGGAAGATGACAGCATCATTGCCGGGGTTGTAGAACGATGCTATTGACATCCGGTTACCATTCGTTTGGGTCACCACCCGATGCGGCACGCTCTTGTACTTGCCATTGGTTATCACCTGAATTTTGTAAATTAAAACAACTTTATAATGTTATCCACCTTGTATTAAAAATTATCAAAATTAAGCTACTCATTGGAAGTCAAAAAAGTTTCGAGCGTATCAGACTAAAAAATAAAATAAAAAAGAATCCAAAATGGGTTTGGGATAGGAATGAGTTCTTGTTTTTTGATATATCATTTGAAGATAAGCTATTTCTTCGTTTCTTTAACTTTAAAAAGTGAAAATCCCAAGTAACATATGTCAAGTTGCATGTAAAATCAAGAAAAACTTGTATTTCAAAGTTTTTTTTGGGGAGTATTAGAAAAAACACTCCCCTTTAGCAAAAATGCTTATAATTTTTAAGCACAATTACCTCAATTTGGTCACCGAGGTTGACGACGATGGAGTGGCGCATTGGGGGAACGTCGACCCATTTGTCGTCCTTGAGGAGCTGGAGGCCGCTTACTTTGTCGTCTTGGAAGAGCAAGATGATGCCGCCGGCATCAGTGTGTGCTCGCAGCCCCTTTATCAATTCTGGCTTTGGGCACGGTGGGTAGTTTGCCACCTTCGTCCCGAAGTTCGGGCCCTTGGTGCCATGGAAGGCCTTCTTCAAGTACCCCTTCTCTAGCCCCAAGTTCTCGCAAAGTAAGTCCAAAAGCTCCTCCGCCAGCTCTTCTAGTTTTTTGGCAAATTCTTTAAACAGCTTCCTGCATTATTAAAACATGTAGAAATGGTTTATAAATCTTTCAAAAGTAATTTAGTTGTCGAATTGGCACATAGTTTTTATTTTTTCATGAGATTTTAAGCCATAATGTTCACTGCAAGTTCTGCAATTATTCCCCTTGACTTTGAGTAAGGTTCTCCTCGATGACAATACTTCAAGCTCATTAGTCAAGGGATTTGATTAATAAAATCAAAAGTTGAAGGATTAAATTTAAATTTCTTAAATAATTAAAAAGATCAACAATGTCAGGAATATATGGCATCTTAAATATTCAAATTGGAGAGAATAGCTGTCCATAAGGAATTCGGATTAATTAGAAAATTTTAAACTCTTATCCCATTGTGTCTCGTTGTACGGACCTGTAATCGTCATCAAGATCGGAGAATTCTGAGATGTTAGATTGAGGGAGATGGCGGAGGAAGAAGGTGCTCTCCCAGTCCATGTCAGTGACCTCAGCCTGGGCCGCTTCAAGGCCATTCTTGGTCACTAGCTCCTTGAATCTCTGCTCCATGCACTTTCTATAGTGCTCTTTTGTCATCCTTTCCAGCTTGTCCATCATCTCGTGTGGTATCCATGGTTCACCAACTACATATATATAATTAATACATTAATTAACAATTTAATTCAAAATCATATATAAAACCCACTAATTTAATAATGCCACTTGGAAATTAACTATATTTTGGGGAATTCTGCTTCAAATTGAAATTTCTTCGAACTCTCATATGCAGAAGACGGGGGGAGGGCGAGGAGAGTATACCTCAAAGAAGCCCCAGTTCTCACAGGCATCCTTGATGAGGGACATGGTGGCTCCTCTCTCTTCACCGTTCAGCTTCTCCATGTTGATCACCGGAAAGTTCTCCATTTCTCTCTCTCTCTCTCTCTCTCTCTCTCTCTATATATATATATATATATTTATAGATATGAAAATATATGTAGGTATTTATATCCCCTCTTCTCTCTCTCGGAGCTTCGTTTGTGCTATGCAGAGAAAGAAGTCTAGGTAGGGGTATTTATAGTGGTGCATTAGCGGGGGTAAAATGGAAGAAACAACTGCACAAGGGGGTCAAATATACTATTATTATTCAGCGACCCGCAAAACGCATGTTTGGTCCAAGCCGGTCGAAAGGTCTTCCTGCCTTGTTAGACCTTCCCTCTTTATGTGGGACAGGGTTTCTATTTTCTCGCAAGACTTTTGACCCTTGTCGCGTGCCCAGAAATGTCTTTTCATGTCAATGAGTCCACTTTACGACCGAGGAGGAAACGCGGAAGAGATGGGATGTTTGGTTCAGTCGGTGAAATCTAATTCAATTTTGATTCGGATTTTTATTAAAAATGAAAAAATTGATAAAATTCTAATTGACGAGTACACCTGATTTCCTATCCCAAAAAATGTTTAGTTCTCAAGTATTTTTGGGATTTTATTTTAATTTTGTCATTAAACAAGAAATTCCATATGTCTAGTTATCAAAAATAAATTTATGTGCAATATTTACTTCAGAGGAAGTAATTTATGAAAATATTTATAAATTATTTCTTCATAGTTTAATCAATGTGTTTTAGAAAAAATCAAAATCAAAGGAAATCGAAAAACCAAAAGAGAAGGGAAAAAATGTACTTCTGATTAGGCCAAACACTTCCTGATGCTCACCAAATTAGATTATAACAATCCCCAGTAAATTCACATCTGATGACTCCAGTTTGTAAATTCTACAGATGATCGACTATTGTTGAAGTGAATGTTGTATAATGACATATAATTGACTATACAAATAGATAATATCAGAAATATTTGAGAACCAAAAATTCTTGTGATAGGAAATCAGACATTTTATTCATTTTAAAATTTTATCAATTTTAATAAATTTGAATTATATATTTTAAATAAATATTTCAATTTTTTTATACTATCAAGTTCAATATCCAAATTCAATAATATTAAAACAGATTTAGGTCACCCAAAAATATATGGATAATTCATATTGCATTACTCATCCATTCTTAGTCATTAAACCGTACAACTGAGAGTTCCTAAACATTTTTTTTTCTTTTCTAATTTCTACGCTTGAGTTAACATAATATTTTTTTATCTTAACACGTGATCTATAAACTTTATATTTTATCCCACTAAGGTTTTGTAAATGCATCTTAATGTAATACCCCAAAATTTGAAGTATTATTATTAGAAAAAAAAAAAACTTAATAAGGGACTTAGTCGAACTGATTAAAACTATTTTGGGTCAGAATTTGATTAATTAAGAATGTCAAGGGCTAGATCTCATGAAATTAGAACCATCAGGGACTGAATAGCAAAATCCCCAAATTCATGATTTGTATATGATTTCAAATTCTATACTAGAAGCCTGAATTGAAATCTGATAAAAAATTATCTAAAAATTTCACAAAATTCTTCCAATTGAGGATACAACGACACTCGTATAAGTCATACAAAC